GAGTGGGCATGAGACTGGATAAACATGAAACAAGACTGGGACTGGGCAGACAGAGACTAATTCATAACAGTTTGAGCATTTGGCTAAAATTTTCTTCAATATTACTTTGTAAAAATGTGTGTCCTTTTTAAATATAATTTTTAAATTGTACTAAATCAGTTTCTTACATTTTTGTTTTAGTTCACTATTATTAATACTATTATTTTAATTAATATTGTTCCACACAATTACATACACACAAACATTTTCATAGTTCATTTCAAATCATTTCTGTCATTCCAGTGTCTTTCTGACTGACTGACTACCCCTTGATATATTTGAGTTGTTCTTCAACTGTGGCGCACTGCAGCCGCTGTAATTTTTGAAAGTTCAATAAAGAACACAAACATTTGCATAACATTGCAAAATTACAATGATCAAATATGTTAAAATGTTTAATAAATTATATAACAAACTACATCTCCTACAGAAAGAATTCTCTTTAGTTAAATTGATTGTTCAATATGAAAGAGAAATTGTCTTAGCACGACTTGAGAAGCTGCCGGTTGGTTTCAGTATATTTAAAAAATCCTAATGTGTTCATTTTAGTTAACATCATAACCACAAACTAACCTGAACAACTGCACCATCAGTCTAACATTTATAGCTACTGATCAATATGACTGTTAATAAAAACATTCCTGTTAAAAATGACTGACTGGCTGATTTCACAACGACGTTGTTTCTAAACATAACTATAAAAAGCAASCTTTAACACCATAGGAAAAAATAATCAGCTGATATATCTGTGAATCTACTGCTGGCCAAGCAAAAAAACTTGTTACTAGTAGTTTTCACGACAAAGCTACATACAGAACAACAATACAGTATGTTTGTTTTAAGTAAACTTACCAAGTGAGTAGCATCCATGTTTAGCTACTTCTGTAAACACCATGTGACGTCACATCTTTGTGCATGTGGATCACATCAGGGCTGTGGAGAGTTCACATTGGAGTCTGATGGAAGTTGCATTTAAAATGTAATGTGAACATTCAGGCCAAAAAATCAGATATTTTCAAAAAATCTGAATCGAACATTAAGCCCTGCAGTGTGAACAAAGCCTGAGATTCTAAAGACGTGGTGAGAGCAGCTGTGCGAGGGGGCCCAATTTCATCGTGGGGCCCAAAATTGCTGGTGGCACCCCTGCTCAAGACTGTAGATATGAGAGTGGAGACTCCGCCCAGCACTGCTGCCCCTCACAATCTTCAACAGCCCCGTGTCTATGGTATAGTCCTTTAGGTTCCTGGGAACCACCATCTCACATGACCTGAAGTGGGAGCCCAACATCTACTCCATCCTCAAAAAGGCCCAGCAGAGACTGTACTTCCTATGCCAGTTGAGGAAGTTGGACCTACCTCAGGAGCTGCTGATCCTGTTCTACACTGAGTCCATCCTGTGCACAGCCATCACAGTATGGTTTGGTGCGGCCACAAGGCAGGACAGGAACAAGCTGCAGCGAACAGGGAGGACGACTGAGAAAGTCATCGGGGCCTCACTGCCCTCCATTCAGGACTTGTATCGCGAAAGAACCAGGAAACGGGCTGAGAAAATCATCACAGACTCCACTCACCTGGGTCACATGTTCCAACTCCTCCCGTCTGGCAGATGCTACAGAACTCTGTCCACTAAGACTGTCAGACACAAGAACCGTTTCTTCCCCCAGGCCATCACCATCATCAACAGCTGATCATCAGACATCCATCAGCTAGATCATATACTCTATACTACAGAGAACTATCTATTACTCTTATTCTATATTACTGAATTACTGCACCTTATTCATAATCATCTACCTCTACACTGCTGCTGTGGTATTATTACTTAACTTTG